ATATAATATATATATATATACATATATGTTTATATATGTATATATCTGGCCCCGCGGAAAATTGCATTTTTGAAAAAGAAAAATTGCAAAAAATAGCAAGGTAAACTGCCTAAAAATTGCAAAAAAATTGCAACCTTCCCAGGGCGCATTAATGCAGGCTTGACATTTTTAGTTTAAAAAACATGACAATTTGAGTACTGGTAGCATAAAGGCAGAACAGTCTTTTAAAAAATCATGACCCACGATTTTATTAACAACATTTATTAGTAACAATACACGAGTACGTTAACAATTAAGTTATCGACCAAATATAATATATACCGCATGACACAAAATAACGGAACCCTCGGTTTTCGTAATAACTTTTAAATGAAGGCATAAAATTTTACCGAATTTAGTACATACCGGGTACTTGGTTCAGATAAAGACCTAGAAGTGTAGTATGAGGTTTAGTCTATAAAAACCAAAAAATTTGATGGTAGATTTTCGAAACAACCTCTAAATGCAAAATTAGCTTGCTCCAATCAATTCAGATCCAGGTCTTTATTTTTTTTCTCTTGAAACCTTCGATACACCGGTAATCTGTAAATTTATATCTATTTCAGGTATTTTCTTTTTAAAACCAGTATGGCATTGTTTTAACATTAAGTCAAATCGTAAAATACAGGAAATTTTTTTTTCCATTTATAAACAATAGTAATAATAATGTAGATCATTTCTATAGCGCCCACTCCCTTACATAACGGAGTGTCTTCGTACACGGTAACCGAGCTCCTAGCCTCAGTTTCTACATACACGGTAACCGGCAACCGGGCACGTAGTCTTCAGTGTCATGTACACGGTAACCGGGCAGTTCAGAACTCCAAGTTCGTCCGATGTTGCCTTCAACCCCAGCCCTCTCCCGACTATGCCTTTTAAAAAAATAAATAGTCCCCCCATTCCGGAGCCCTGTACTTCGCGGCGCACCGACTTTGAATGAACTTTCGTGACCCCAACCGGTACTCACAATGTGATGCAAAAGCACAGGTTCACTGACGGGTCACGATGGTGAGCCCGACAAGACGCTTGTACATGTATGACTTTCTTTTTTAAATTTTCAACAAGTGACAGCACTGGACAAACATTGATTTATTTTCATTACGGTTACCGTGTAAGTAGATACTGAGACTAGGTGCCCGGTTACCGTGTATGTAGACGCATGCATCATGTACGAACAATATTCGCGCGCGCGCACACACACTCACGTACACCTTACACACGCACCCACATGCACACCACACACACACACACACACCTACTTTCTTATCACACGCGCACGCTTACACACATTAGATCTATGTCTCAATTTGTGTATTGTATTCCGGCCTGAATTTCAGGTTATAGCTTTTAGAGTACGCCCAGTAGGCTAGAGCTGGGCCAAAATCATGATTTACGTACTCTGTACTCGCATCATTTCGTATTAAAAATTCTGTTAAAATTAAAACGATGATGTATTTTTGCCTAAAATTGCAAGAAATTGCGAAAAATGCAAAAAATTACGAGTTTATTGCGGAACTCAAGGAAAAACGCGGCCGCAACTTCGACCGCAAGACCGAGATTTCCTGGGGGGCCTGATTGATATATATGTGATATATATATATATAAATACTCCCTTGTTTGCTGATCACGTAACCTTTCTATTGTTCTCCACTGTGCAGATATCTGCTCCAGAAGTCTCACAAGGGAATAGTTTGACCAACCATAAGGAAGCAGAAATTGTGATGAGCCTGCTGTTGTCCTGGGCAGAGGTATGTGCAGTATGTTAATGTTACGATTTTGAGCTCTGCGGAAGATAAATGAGGGGGGTGAGATGCAAAACCCCACGAAGCGACGTTTTGTAAATAAATCAAGATTTTTTGCTTATAAATGCACATTGTTGCTGGCTACCAGATGTGCAAAGTGTTTTCAGCCAAACGCCAACAAATACTTCACTAAAGCCACCCGAAACATCTTCTTTTTACGCATGCTCGTGCGTATAGCAGCATTTAAATAAGCTGATTTTCTCCAAAGTGCTGAAATGGATGAAGCGGGTTTTGCATCTCAGCCCCTCAAATGCTATTGTTTTTATTGCCATGACTCTTTTCTGTTCAGTGCGGCTGAAATTGATGATATAGTAAATGCTGTGTTACTGTTCTGCCCAAACAAAACTGGCTAGGTACATCACTTGTTTCTCTCACTCGATTTCCTCAATGGCAGGCTTGAATGTGATAAAAAATAGATCACTGACATTAAGCTGCAGCTTAATGATCATATCTTCATATCTATGGTGTATTATTTAGGCTGTTCTCCCTTCCTCGCATGTGTGGGTTTGACTCCAGTGTGAGGAGGTTATTTATAGAGAGCGTATATCCATCCGTCTATGGGGCGTTGCATCCGTCTCCGCCTGGCTTGGCCCTGACAGGCAGGATCAGTGCAGGCCATCACTTCCTAAATGATCTAAATTGTGTGGATGGGGGCCACAAAACATCTACAATTTCCTTTATTGTTTTCATCCATCAGGCCGGTGTTGATGCCTCCACCATCGGAGTGATCTCCCCGTACAGGTCGCAGGTCAAGTATCTCCAGCAACAACTTCAGCGCTGCCCCCTTGTGGCGGCGGCCGAGGCCAACACAGTGGACCAGTACCAAGGGAGGGACAAGGAGATCATTGTTATGTCCTTTGTCCGCTCTGGGAATGCTGTGAGTTGACTGCTCATTTCTTCACTATACTGATTAATAAGAAAGCGAATGCATAACTTTGTCTTAGAGGGAAAAAGAAAATTTGCCATAGTTTAACTCTTTTCCTTACACACTCTATGGAACATTACAGCAACTGCAGCAAACCTACACTTATCACTACATGGCATTGGACAGAAGGGTGAGAGCCCAGCTGTTGCTGGATCGATAACAAAAAACAACTCTTTTACTACCAGACAAAAATCCACCTCTGGCCCAGGGCTTTTCCCTGACCTATTGTTACGCCCCTACACCACCAAAGGAAAATATCCATACCTCCAACTAAACAAACACAAACCATATCAAATGGCCCATCAAACTGAAGGTTAAACAATAATCTACCAGATGATGATACAATGTTGAAGATTTATTCCTATTATATTAGTTTGGGGTTTCTAAAAGTGATGGGACACCCAAAAGTGATTGTGCACTATTGAATGTGTCCTATTAAATCAACAATTTTCCAGCTTTGAAAGGTCACATATCTACAAAAGTACAACAACAGCATCATTCAAACTTCCCAGGTAGGTTGCCTCAAGTAGTGCTAAAAAATGCTGAAAGTTATGTATGTGTACCTAATATAGAAGTGAACATTTGAGACATATACTGAAATCGGGGGAACGCTTTTTTTCTCATTTTTGCCTTTCGAACGGGACAAAAAAAGCGATGAAATGACTAAATATCGTCTCTCAGTGCTATATTTTCTGTCGTATCTGCTAACAGGAAGTCTATTTCATTATTTTGAAAACGTGGATCGGCGGAGAATTTCGGATCTTTTCATTGCTGGATTGGAATAGGTAGCGAGCCACTGGAGCCGTATTTTGCTGCTCTTGGTCCAGCGAGGCCACGTCCGCGAGCTGCAAAATGCGGCACATGGTAGGAAAGTGTTAGTGCAAGAAAAGAATGAGAAAGCTGATTCTGTTGTTTTGAGAAGGAAAATGCTGTGTTGATATTGTTGTAAGGATAGGATGGAAAAGATCACTTTAACTGCACTAAATGAATGCTTTCGTGTGGATGTGCTTCTTTTTGTGCGAAGTGAAGCTTTTACAGTTAGATTTAGTTCAATGTTCATCAACCTTTAAGAGCTAAAATGTTGATTAAATAACACCTATTATTACTGGGGTGATCCTCACTCCCACCAAAATTACCAAATTGCTGGCTGGTGGGCGATACTGCTCAAGTTGGCGAGTTTTTACTTGAGTATTTTGATCTAGATATATTAAAGGCCTCAATTGTCACATTGTCAGTGAACTAAGGCTTATTAAGAATGCCAAGTAGGGACAGTGCACAGAAATGGGATTTGGACGGGTAGTCACTGGATTGTCTTTTTTTTCTTTAGCCGGGCAACTTCACCCTACAGTTAGCTGCTGGAGCAGGTTCAACTGTACTTGGACAGGGATCAATGAAGTCTTTCTTTACAGAAGTGCAAACTTCATTTATGCTATTTCTCTTTCAGGGTCATCTTCTCAAGGACATTCGACGTCTCAACGTGGCCATGACCCGTGCCAGGTTCAAACTCGTCTTTGTCGGGAGTGTGAAGACATTGAGGACTTGTGAGCCAGTGTCTAACCTCATCAGGCACATTGAGAACATGCACAATGTATCCTTTTGCAACTTGGTATGGTTGATGTATTCACCCTTGTCATTATGTCACCGAAATCTGTAGGGTATAATTTATAATGGTTAGGCTCTTCACCATTGCATGCAGGAGACTGAGTTCGAAACTGGAGTGGCAAAGTTTTAAAAAAATCTTTTGTTTCCATTTGCATGCTGAGGTGATGTTGTCTGGCCTGACCTTCAAGTTTGTTCATATCCTAGTGTTCTGACTAAAGTGAGCTTTTTTTAACCAATTATAAATAGAAGTAATTAGAAGAGACATCTGTGGGAATGCATCACATGGAAAGAATCAGTGGTTCCCTAAATTATTTGCTATTGGCATTTGCTCTTTTGTCACAGCTGCTGAAAAATAGGTCAGGCTTAGGCTAGATTCACTTTTTGTCTTTTCATGTGAATCATGCAAGATCTTAGAGGTAAAATATAGCACTTGAAGAACTTTGCATTTACTTTTTTTTCCTTAATTCACGGTACAGATAATAGAAATTCCTGAATGAAGCTGCTTGTGATATTCCAAATGGAAATGATGCATCATAAGCGAATGGGCTCTTTCAGAACATCTGGAAATTGCTTCTGCATCCAGTGGTATTTGGAGTATTTTCTCTGATCCTTCAGCTAAGAATGCGTCTTCAGTTGTTTCCTCGAGTTCACTCCAACAGGCATTCTCTGGCGCACTCTCGCCTAATAAGTGGCACGCACCATCGTCACAGGACAGCAAGTGATGACCTTACTTACTCAGACTTTGAGACTCCCACGTCTTGAGACGCCTGAGGCAATCAGAGATGACCAGGAGTCTGTCTGCGGCTAAGGCGGGGACAAGCAGGCCTACTGCACAAACTCTGTGATCTGTAGTGACTCAGCGCAGTGCCTACAAATTACTACTGTTTGAGTTTGAGCACTTTCCTCTGATAACTGTTGGCTGATCTTACAGTTCTATCGAGCAACTCACATAAATAAAGTCCCAGATTTTAGAGGACTTTTTTGTGTGGAAAAGGGGTTTGGACTTCTTGGACCATGTCGTCCTGTTCAAGGGAAGTAATGTGTGATTACTATATATGGAGTTTGGGTTTGCTCAATGAATTTGTGTATATATAATATATATTATATGTATTTGCTTCGTATGTATAATAAATTATCACAATAAAAAGTTGTGCAAGAATGTATCTCTCAAGGTCTACCAAATACAGTCGAACCTACCTTAATGGAAACCTGTATAAAATGGAAACCTGTCTTAACGGAATCTCCCCGCTCCCCCCTTGATATATTCCTCTTTAATTACCTGTATAAAACGGAAACCTGTCCAACGCGGAAACGAAAAGAAAAATCTGCTCCCTTCCGAGGGTTTCACCTGCCTAAGATGGAAAATGCTGTGCCCGCTCAGCCCTGATTTGAAACAAAACTCGCAAGTTTGGTTCCGCTGGTTCTAAACTTAACGCTATGGCCATGACGCTGGGCGATAAAGGGGAGTAGGGTTGCAATTTGGGGGTAGATATTACCCCATCATGTGAGCCCTGAGCGATGCAGATGGCCAGTGTAGTGTGGGTGTGAATCTCACTACTGCCGTGAGAGTGCTCAGAAACTTTCTGGGTAGCCAGAAGCCAGAGGTGTGAAATTAGATTGACCAATGTCTGCCACCCTGATGGTACGGCCAGCCGAGAAAAGAGTTCCTTGAATCGTTGTAACATGATGGCAGTGAGGGGTGGAATTGGTTGACTGTGCTTGTTATACTGATGGGTGGGGCTAAGGGTTGGAAGCAAAGGAGATGTTCAAACGTTTCTGTGTTTAATAGGCCAAACGGCGCTCCTATGAAATGCAAGCACTGGTAGTAATTGGATAAGTATGACTGACGCATGTCATTATCAGAGAAGATAGCAGTTGAGAGGTGTGAAGTTTTGACCACTGCTTGCCGATCGGACCAGCGATCCTTGATCCCACCGGCTGGCCCTTTGAACCCATTCTACCCCTAAATTCCCCTGTCTAAGACGGAATTTTTTTCTGGCTCCCTTGCGATTCCGTCTTACTCAGGTTCAACTGTATATAGCAAGAGTATATTTAAAACATGTTCATATAGAAAAATTTGTACATAATGTAAAGATGTGAACATCCCTCAGATTTTGCTATGCGTGTGTTTGATTACTATATATATATTTTTACACGATATGCATAACATGTAGTCACTGTCCATGTTGGTCAGGCAGTGGTCTTTCACGATTGTAATGAAAGACCCTTCGGGAGCTTACTTTTGCTGTTTCAGTTTGCGACATGCTATTCTCTCTCTTGTTTTTCTGTGGTCTTTTGTAGGTCTCTGACTTTTTATGAAATAGGTCACAGTTACATCAACATGTCTACACTCCCTTATTTTGATGAATTATACATTATAAGAATTATACATTTTAATATTGCTTGCGCAACAAAAATTAATTCCTTCTTTTTGGACAACCGACATCCTTTTACCCCCCGAGGCGGTGCCACTGACTGAAGTGTATTTAGGCCATTCCCAAAGGGGGGACATTTCTCGTTCATGCACAGTAGAGAAGTGTAAATGGACAGATTCGTCAATGTCACGCTCATAACTGTGCCTTATCTACAACAGGGAACTGCTGCTTTTTCTTTCCTAATCCTTACTATTG